GGCAACCCATGGTGCTCATGTTATTACACCATTTCGAGTTGCAAATCGAAAGTAAGTGTAATTAATTTGAATTCATCATTTTCTTTTGTTTTTTTTATAGTTATGATATTCTTGTTAATCGTGGTTATGTTCCATTTGATTTAAAAGATCCATCAACTCGAATTTCTGGACAAGTAGAATCATATTGAATATTAAAATGATGTATATATATGTGTAATACTTTTAGATTGAAGATGAACATGAAATCATTGGATTACTTCGATCAACAGACTATGTAAGTAGTTTAATAATATGATGACATAGAAGAACTATTGTTTTATTGTCTATATTTAGTTAAATACAATGTGGAATAAAAATGAACCATCAAGAAATATTTGGCGTACACGTGATGTTGCTGAAATGGCTGCAGCTATGAAAACAGCACCTATTTTTATCGATGAAGTGAAAAGTAATTTCCACTACCAATAAGATAAATTGTGATAGTATATGTCTAAATATTATCTTATTCTAGGCACATCTGTGCCAGGTGGACCTATTGGTGGACAAACAAATATTCAATTACGTAATGAACATCTTTCATATATTGCTACATGGTAATTAGAATTGATGTATGAATAAAACATTTATATTCTGTATTGACTTGTTTTTTAGGTTTTCTCTTTCAGCTTTTACTACTGTTATGTGGCTTCGTAAATATCTTTTATAAATAAATCATATAGATTTGAAATTATTCAAAGCTATTTTTGAAAGTCTAGGAAAATTTTTTTTTTTAATAAAACAAACAAAGTTGAAGAAAAAACATCAATTTAAAATACAATTATTAACAATATAAGAAAAGTTTATCCGTCACCATTATCTGCACCACCTTCATCTTGATCTTCATGTTCCATATCTTGACCAAATATATAATTATCTACACGTTTCCAAGCTTCCGATCTCATCATAGGACCAAAGATCATGAAAATAACACCCAGAAAACATAAAACAGAAAGAATAGAAATTAAAAATATACTGGATATATTATCAAGTGTTGATGACGTTGATGAATGCGTGAAGACAACACGATCACTATCATTCTTCGAACGATTTATAGTAGAATTAGTAGAATTCAACAGTGTGTACATGTAAAATCATTATGAAGATCATTTTATTTAATAAATAATATAGCCACACTAATAACGCTAATTTAATATCTTAGAACTAACGATATCAATCTAAAAATAGAAAAATAAACAGATTTCTATACAGTTCTATTTGTTTATCTCATTATTATCTTGAAATATGCTTCTTTTTCGTATTTGCTTGCGTGCACATACATCTATAAGTAATTCTTTTTGTTGTATATAGACAATACTAAAAGAACATCTTGTTTTAGTTTGAGTTATTCTTTTTTCTGTTCTCTTTTTACACTTGTCTAGAAAACAGACATTAATGTATAAATCATGTTCTAACACAATATTCTTAACGTCTGGACAATCTATCAACATTCATTTAGTTACTCTGTTGAATGATAAATTGATAATCTGTTAAAAACGCTTTTCTCTGTGGGCTGATTAAGCTCGAAAGCAAATGGCAGCTGTTTAATAATAATAATAAGATTTCAAAATTCCCTACCGTAAAACTGTATTGTTAATCTGTAACTATGATATTAATAAATTATGTTTGTTTATGATAGATGTCTAAACGCGCCATTTATTTGTCGATTTTCTTTTATGTATTGTTTTTGTTTTTATAATAATAAAATATTAGTTCAATAATAGATGTATAATAGCAGTTGCTGGCTCATTGTAGCCTGCACTGCTTTCTATTGGAATATTATTCATAAATAAATACCAATAATGACGAGTTTAAGTTCTTCACATGATGATTTTCAATCAATAACTATATCAGAAGATTCAACTGTAAGTGAAGGTACACGTCGTTTACTTTCACCATATAATCGTAATCGATTTGATGCTCTTAATCGTGATATACAAAATGAATTAATTAAAGTGAAAGAAACATTTCGTACAATAACAATTGATCTTAATTCATTTCAAGGGGGACCAGAACAATTGAAAGAATTTAAAGATAAAATACGTCATATGAATCTTATTTTATTAACTGTTAAACAACGACAGGATATTTTAGATGATCGAAATGAACAAATGTTACTCGATTTACAAAATCATATTTGGGAAATAACAAAATATTCTGTACGTATTGAAATTTATCTATGTGCTATTGAAAGAATGAAAAATACGGCGAATGAATTATTACAAATGGCTAAGAAAAGTTCACAGAATTCCTCAAATGATTATGATGAATTACTTGAAATCGGTATTAAATTAAAACATGAAATAAATCTATTAGAAACACGAGCGAAAAATGATTGTCATAATATTACTATACATGAAAATCTCGATAAATTACAAAAACGTTGTACAACTATTTTAAATATAAATGAACGAACACAATTAAAAACTTTACGTAATTTCCAAATTAAAAAATCTATACTTAACCATTGTCGAAATCGATTGTTTGATTAGTTTCTTTTTCTTCTTTACTTTTCATGTCAAAATATATGTACATGTTTGTATATATCTATAAATATATATACATACAAGATATCTAGTTGTTACTTAAGTAGAAAAATATGGTAGCGTTTTGTAAATTAGAATAATTGACAAGATGGAAAATTAACAGTAAAAACAACAACAGTTGCTTGGTTTATTTCTTCTTTAGCATTGCGATAATCAAAAGTAACCAACTTTATTGACGTCATTGCAAGACAAAAAAGAAACTTAGAAAAAGAAAGAAAAAATATAATCACTGACATAATATCTATTTTTGCCGTACGATATGTTTGTTCCCTTGATACGTTCTTTTCTTCTTTTTCTTTTTGCATTGAGAACAAACAAATTGTCTATCAAATATTGGTGTCTGTATTATCGATTGGATCCATAAAACTAAGCATTGAATAAATGTGACAATTTGCAAAGAACAAGATCGCTATTGATGGCAATGACCTTGTCAAAGAATGATATATATCCAACAACAAATGCTAAATATAAAAGTCTACTGAGACATAGAGATCTTTTCAAATAATGAGAATATAACGATGATGTGAACATTTATATCATAATATTAAAATCAATACAAGTTTCATTCTTATATTAAATAGGAGACATCTTGAGATATATGCTGGAATTTTATGTTACATAGATATTTATAATTAACTGTAATCAGTAAGAGAAATCTTGCATCTGGATAATGTCTTTTACAATATCATTAATGGAAAGAACAAGATTTTTCCTTTAATATTTAAGTCATATATAATATACAGATGTCTATTTGATAAAGTTACTTTATTGGTAAAAGAAACTTTAGACTTTTGTTCTTTCAACTACGTGAAAAGATAACTGTTATCTATTCGAATTTGCCTTCATCTTTTTTTTTCTTTTGCTAGGTATAACACAAGATATTCATATATTTTATCAAAATTAAATATATAATCATGCATAGAACAATGAATACTATTGCTTTATTTTCCTATTTTATTTTCGATATATAAATATATAAATATTTCAAAAGAAAACTGTATTATTAGTTTCTAGTTTATTTTAAGCATTTCGTACTTTTCCTGGAACATATTTATCATAATCAATTTTTTCTTCTTGTAAAAATACATGAAGTGAACGTTCATTCTGTGCTAATGGATGACCAGCAACTCTATACAAACAATAATATAATAGGATTAAAAATAACAATATATTTTTCTATATACTTAATAATAAATTCTTCAAGTCCCTTACGTCTTTCCTCAATAAAATCATCATCAAATATACCATCATTTTTACGAAGAAATGCAGGTATTTGTCGTTGCCATGCTTTACCTGGTAATGCTGGTACAACAATCTAAAAAGAAAAATTAATATATCAATTTTGTTAAAAAAAACAAAGGAAAGTTATTTTTACTTTACTATCTCGTTCAAGTTCTTTATGTAACCATTCGAATTCAGAATAACGACGACGTACAGTAGAATCTTTTAATCGAAATACAGGCAATTTAGTCTACAATAAATAGTACAACTATTGAAAAAACTTATATATATAAATATTACTTTCATTCGAACTTCATAATCAGTATATCTATTACCAGCTAAACCATGAGTTATTGGATTGACAACTTCAACTTCTAAGAAATTATCTGGTGGTTCATAAGGATTCTCAGATGCAGTCTAAATAAGAAATTGATTATTTGTAAGATATTTAGCATATCTGTTTTTCTTTCATTACACTTTGAGCAGGTAAACGAGCAATTTCTGGTCGACTTTCTGAACTAGCTACTGCCATTGATTAAATTTATCTAAAAAAATAAAATATGCTCAAATTACGAATAACGACATATTTGACTTGAGTGTTTGAAATAAACGAAAGAAATGATAAGAAGAAGAAGAAGAAGGAGAAGACATGGTAAAGGTTATTAATATGAGTCCTCTGTTGATGCTTATCTACTATCTTTATATTAAAACATACTGCATTGATTGTTTAATTAACTGTATATATTACTAGTCTATTGAAATCTATGTTCAAAATGTTTACAAAATTTGAAATAAAACATCTGAATAATCGATTATATATAAAATTGCATAACTAATATCAAGTGATATATATTCTCAAAGTATAAGAATATGAAAAGATACAAATATAAAATGAAAGGAAAAGTAAAAAAAAGAAAAGAATAGACTTTATTCGAATATCGATGTGTATTAGACTATAGAATGGAAAGAATATTAAAAGAAAGAAATGCTTATATAGTCAGTAGTATGTAAAGCACTTGTTTTGTCTTTTTCAGAGCATATAAGCCGTATTATATTTATTTAACAACAAAGACGTTACTTCTATTGATTGTGATTAATAAAATCAAGCGGTCCGTATGTTTATATTAATCAATTGAATGTAAGAAAAGAAGGGTGTGTTTTAACAAGATTCTTCATTTTGATTCTAGTCGTAAACAAATGGTTCTTGAAAGGTTTAAATTGTTCGGTGCATCAGCACTTTTTACTAGTCTAGAGAAACGAAATATTCTCATTTATATCATTGGTATAATGCTATATAAATTTGGTGTAGAAGCATTTAATGGTGCCATTGTTACACTTGCTACAAATCGTTATGATCAAGATGCATACGAAACTGTTACATTAACACGTACATTTCAAAGCGTTGGATTACTTATTGGTCTTAATCAAGCATCACAATGTATTGGTTCAATGTTAATTGGTCCACTTATTAAACGTTGTCGAACACAAATGGTTCTTTCAGCAACAATATTTATTTTTGCATTATCAACAGCCATTTTTATGGTAATTGATGTTATAACTGGTGGAAGTATAAAACCAAAAGGTTTTGTAGCAAAACATAAAAATGATTTTAGTTATTATGGTGATTATCGTACTGATATAATTATACCAATCTATTGTCTATCGGGTGTAACATTTGGAATGGTTGAATCAATTCGACGTGTTATTCCAGCTAATATTGTTGGTGATAATATTGTTAAATTACGAAAAATGAATGCTTTAGTTCATATTTTTTATGAAATTGCTGGTGTTAGTGGAGCATTAACAACTGCTCTTGTATTAATTCCACATTTAGGAAATAATCATGCATTTATTATAACACCTGTTTTATTTGTTACATCAGGTTTAATTTGGTTATTCATTCATTCCGTTCAAAATAAGATAGATATTGACGAAAATGAAATTTCAACACATTTAAAAAAAACAAAAGTAAATTATTTCAAAGCAATTGCTTTAACACTTTTCTCTTTTCTACAATCAATTTATACTGGTGCAAAAATTGTTTTTACTAGTCGAAAATTTATTTGGTTATTTGCTGTTTATCCATTAGCTGTTTATTCACATAGATATATTGAAAATAGTATTGCTCCACAAGTTGCACAACGTTTTTTACAAAATTCAGATTGGTCACAAATACTTGTTGGTGGTTCTAATCTCGGAGAATTGTTTGGTGCTCTATTTGTTTTTTATTTTAATGATACAATGAAAAGTCCGATATTATGGGTACGATTAGATGCATTAATGTTATTTGTTATATGGTATATTCCATTTTATCATCCTCCTATTGATCAAATTAAATATGCTTGGATAATGTCAGCATCATTAGTTCCAATTGGATTTGCTTCAGCTGTTGGTGATATATCTCTTGATGCTTATATTCAATCTTCTTTAACACGTCTTGAATCTAAACATAAAAATATATCACCATTAGGAGCAGTTATGGCATTTCTTTATTCAACATATATTATTATCTATTCAATTGCAAACCCACTTCTTGGTAGACATATTGATTATGTTTATAATACACGTGGAACTGTTCAATCTGCACTTATTTATACAGCGGCTGTACCATTAACAATTACTGTTATAGTAATGTTTGCTGCAACATTTATTCCAAAAGGTGCTATTGCATTTAATCCAGTATTGATTGATGAAGATGAATCCATTATTACGAATGATAATAAAGAAAAATTAAATATGATATCTAATACAAATATTGATCATGATAAGATTCAAAAGCAAGATATTTGAAAAATACAATATCTGTAGAATATATGTATACATCGAAAATAAATTAACCGATAATAAATCGTTCTCCTTACTAATAATATGTAAAAAGTTTCTAAGATATGTATGTATACACATTTAAATATAATAAATAAGCGAGCTTAAAAGAGATATTTTTTTTATAATTCATATCTTTTTTTAAGAAAGAATAAAAGCTTTGTTTGTAACACTTTATCAAAAATATGCAGTTAATTTTATTTAAATCCTTTTTATATAATAAAGTAAAGTGTGGTTGGGTGGAATGAGGATGAGATAAGAATAAATATTTACACCTTCAGCACCTTGCGAAATTTCTTACATTCTCGGAAACACAGTGAGAACTTTGTGTAAAGAGAGATGACAGAAATCGAGAGAAAACTCTGTGAATACTACTTAGAATCAGACCAGAACTAATTGACCGATTTTACAGTCATAATGGAAGAGGAAATAGTGGAACTTTTTTTCATTTTTGGGAGAAAGAATGAACTTGTTGTGAATCGGTGTGGGTGTGGTGTGGGCAAACGTGTTCTGTTCTTATTCTACCCATACCCACACCCACACCCACACCCACCCTCGATATGGTTTGTATCAAAACCTTAGCTATCCATGCTCTCTCTACATCTACGCTTGCAAAATTCCAGTCACACCTAGACCATAATTATCCACAGTCTAGTGACATAGATCCACAATGTCACCATCGGTCATCAGATCACCCTCACACCCGCACCGTGGTCACTAACAAAAGGATCATATGAGACAAGATAAGTTCGTATTCTTTTCGCCATCTCAAAAAAACGTTACAGATCCAAAGACACTGTTTTATCTATAAACCGCGGATGCGAAGAGCGAGAAAGAGAATAGCAAATATAATCAGAAGAGAGAGAGAGAGAGAGAGAGAGAAGAGAGTACAAATAAAGATAAAAAGAAAAGTAAGAGAGCATGTGTCTTTTAACGATGACAAGGGCGAAAGGTAGATCAGTCTTACTGACGGGGTGGATATCATTTACATGCTTTTTCCTCACTAACACACCTTCACCTACATATTCAAGATATAGACGCCACGATTTTTTTATTGCTGGTTATTAGAAAAAATCATAATTAAAATATAAAGCGGTCATTATAAAATTGTTTCAAAATGCTTGTGAATACTAAGAAACCGATACTCATTCTTTTTGATGCAGAAGGATAGCTAATATATCATCAAAAGATCAAAATATTTAATTTAAATTTTGATTCTGTAAACTATTTTAAAACTATATTGGTTCATATACTTTTTACTGTTCTAATTCATGGACGAAAAAACCTCTTTCAAAGTTGACACCAGTTTTTGAGTGAATATTTTACCGAAATACTCGCCCATATACCTTGTCCTACCAGTCACTGAATAGACAACGATCTTACCTGTTCATGTACTGGGTTAAAATAGATATCAATCGATAGATTTCGTCGAGCTCTATTTGATACAATCATGTTTAGAGTTGGCATAAATCCTGAAACAAATATAAGATCGATATAATGGTTTTCCGACGAAAAAGCGATTAAAAAATCTAGTTTTTCGTAGTTTTCGCCTGTTTCTCACGATAGATTTTTTACAACGCATGCAGTCCATGGTATATTCCGTCCTCTATTCGACACAGCGACTATTATTTGTGACACAAGATCGATGGATGAATATTTGATGAAAAAACTCGAATCCGCTGCTAACTTTGCTTACGTTTGATATAAATGCTATATGTCGTTATGTAGCTTTTAACGCTTTGACTTCTTCTTGAATATGAATGTTGTTTACTATGATAAAATCGAATTCGAACGAGAAAACATGACACATCTATAAATAGCTATACTATGACAAAATCAATATCTGAAAAATTCGTTTGAATTATTTCCAGAGGATTAAATCAAAATAAACGTGAGGCTATATTGTAACTATTTTATCAATAGATAATCTTCTTTTATTCTAGCAAGCCTATTCAATACTTCTTCTTTAAATTTATATGTAGATTATCTTTTAATAATTAAGATAATTATTGATAATAAGAGAATGATGAAGTTAGTTTGAATAAATTATTCTTATCTATAAAACACAATTAGAAAAAGTCATTTTATAATCATTAGTATTACAGTACAATGAGAATAGAGAGTGTTAAATATATACTTTATAACGAGTACGTGATTATTTTTGAATTTTTTTTGTTGAAGATATGTAGCAAATGAATATATCTCTATTTGATAATTCATAATTAAAATCTTAACAAATTATTTGTTCTTCAATTTACTTTAATCACATGTGAATATCAATTAATGACTATCATACTTTCTTATTCTTGAAAACACTGTTGGTTGATTAATAAAATGAAAGATCTCTTTTTAATATTGTTCATAAGAGTGCGTCAATACTATTAAAAGACTATCAAGAATTTACTATGTTTGATTATGATTGTTATAAATAAAATTGTTGTCTGGAATTAATGATCTATTGTATTCAGTTGAAAATAACTTTTGGTATTAAACATAAATCGTCGAATGATGAACCAAGAATAGTAACAAATGTTCAAAAACAATACCGATAGAAGTTGGTTATGAATAAAATGATGATTTATATAGAAACTATAATTTCTCATATGAATAATCCAGCATTGAGTAGTTCTCAATGTAGTTTATTTTGATCAAAGATTTTAAATTATGATCGACAGAATCTTTTCTATTTCAATTCACTGAATATCCTACTTATTCTATGACGAGCATCTGCCAAGTAAATTTAGAAGATTTCTCCTGTTTCATGAAAAAATCTACTCACATGGCTTTATCGCTTTATATTATCACTTATTTATTGTGAACCATACTACTTTAGCAAGGAGGTTTTCTTTTCTTTTCTTCTTTCCTGTGTGTTGAACCGTTCTCTCAATTTTTTTCTCTGTATTTTCACAAGGTTTTTGTCTATCGTTGTAATCTAATATCTTCATAGTACCAATTATGAAGCAAAACCTGTATTCTTTTAACGGTTTTTTGTCTTCAATTATACTGTAACATCTTCATAATGCTTATTATAAAACTACATCACTATTTTTAAATTAGTTTGATAAAGAAGAAAAAAATTCGGAAGACTTCCCATTACAATATTTATCATTTATGGTATACATATTTTTCCCTTTTTTTTGCTTATTGTCTTTGTTCTCTTCTGTTTAATGCAAAATAAAATTCAAAAAAACTATTTTATCCTTTATTGATTAATAACTTTATGCATATTTATTAATTCAGAATTAATCTTCTTGACTTGAAAAATTGAAGAAGATATTGGTATTTTGCGTTGCTAGAGTTTTCAGAATTCTTCGTCTTTGTAAATTGTATGAATTTCCTAGTTGGTTAAATTTTGGGAGTATTCTGGATGCCCCTTATTCTCTAGATTCTAAATGTAGATTTTATGTGTCCTGTGTTTGTTATTTCTCATAGTTATAATATGGACGAAGGACTCAAGATTTTTCTCACATGTTTAGATCTTACGGATTCAGAGACTGATGAAAAAAACTGAACATATCACAATAATATACAATATATTCAAAACTCCAAAGAGTATATGCATTAATTTTGCTAAATAAAATATATATAGAAAGTAAAGACGTCATAAGCGTTATTGTTAATTTCTCTAACGACATAGTAACGATGTTTTTCTTTCAACATCGGCAAATTTTTATTACTATCCTTTTTTAGTAATACACAGTTTTTTTTCTGACGATGTAATTTCCATTATTCTGATTATAATAGACGAACAAAGTTGCATAAAAGTTTTTTTTCTAACGTCTCTTTGTAAAAAAAATTAAATTATACTGAGATAGTTTTTGTGTTCTGTATAAATTTTATATTACAGCAATGTAGAATTGGAAAAAAAGAGACAACAGACACCATTCTATTGAATGAGATACATTTCATTCGAAGAAGAATGATTGATTATTTGTGAAGATGAACAATTATTGAAGTTACTTTAGAGTGCTGAGAAGTAGTTTCAATTAATTGAATTATTTTATAAATCGTTTCTTATGTTGCCATATAGAATCAATTTTAATATGAAGTGGTCTCGTATTATATACAAATAAACTGATTTTTTTCATATAAAACATGATCGTCAGATATATGTATTTTTGTTCTCCGCCTGCACATTAACTGCAGAAAACAATCAACTTTCTAAATTTATTTTTTTTTGAAAGTGAATCTCTGATACAAAATCCTGACAAGACAAGGAAGTCATGACTAGTTTTCCATCGCACTGATGAATTAAAAAAATATCTATGATGTGTAAAAAGAAAGAGACATAGTTATAATATGGAGTTATGGTCCCAGATTTATCTCACTAGTTTAGATTTGATGGATTCAAAAGGTTAGTGAACAAAACAGAACATATCACAATGATGAACAATATATTCAAAACCTTAAAGAGTATATGCGTTCATTTTGCTAAATAAAATGTACAAAGAAAGTAAAGACGTCATAAACATTATTGTTAATTTTCCAAATAGTATAGTGATGATGCATTTTTTTCCCAGACTAACGCAAATTTTTTACCATTGTTTTTTGAAACACAGTTCTCTTCGACGATGCAGCTTTCATTATTCTAATAATTATAACAGGCAAATGTCATTGCACAGTGTATTTTCTTCTAGTGGTTCTTTAGAAAAAAAGTGAAATTATATTCACATAGTTTTTGTGTTGTGTACACATTTTATATTATTACAGCATGAAACAAAAAAAAAGAACAGACATCATTCTATTGAACCAGATATATTTTATTCGGCGAAAAATGTCTAATTGTTTATGAAATTGAAGAATTATTGAAGTTACTTTAGTGCTGAAAAGTAGTTTCACTTAATTGATTTATTTCATAAAGCGTTTCTTATGTTGCCATATGGAATTAAATTTAATATGAAGTGGTCTCATGTTATAAACAAATAACGTGATCATTGTTTCTACATAAAACAAGATTTTCAGATAAA